TTTTTTTATGAAACATGTGCACGCATCATTTAATAACGTGTCGGAATGGGAGGCCGTTGGAAGAGGCTGGTCGCGAGTTTCAAACAAGATGATGAAAGAGGATGAAGAGCACAATGAAGTAACTCGCTGCCGGAGTGGTCTCGCTGCTGGGGTGGGGTACTGGGCTGCTCCACCGTGTGAACAAGACAGTGCTGGAAAATATTAAAACTATGAAACGGTTCGAACAACAGCTGGAGTATTGTGGGTGTGGAATAACTGCATCAGGGCAGTGCGCAGAATTGGTAGAGACTTGGCCAAAATGATCTTGCAGATGTAATTGGGGCCAAAGGTGTTTTTTCAGCACATATGGAGTTCCTGTGTTGGAATACTTATGCAGTCAACACATTCCCTTTTATCTCAGTATCTACAATTGGAAGGCCTCAGTTTGAACATTCAAGTTTTAAGACTACATAAATCATTCTGAAAACAAGAATAACCATAACCAACAATCTGACTAAGTTTTGTTACTATTATTCTTGTCCAGCATAAAACAGTAGGTGAAGAGGCGAGAGTGTATGGAGAGTATCAAGTGTCCTTTTTGCCACTGTGAAAGAATATATTCATGTGTCTAAAGAAGCTGTAAGTAAAAGCCAAACTATGGAAAAGAACAAAGCTGAATTGCTTTGTCAGCATTCTTCACAAAGGAGTTGAATTACACTCGGTACATTTACATAGCTTAAATTCTCGAAATATATCCCAAGCAGAAGGCTGTAATTTTCTGTTATGTTGGATATCCTACATACATGCGAGTGGAATTTCACATTCTTTCACTGTGAAGAATCCAGCTTCAGTTCATCACATCTTGGGAGATGCTGATGTTGTGGTTTATGAAACAGTTTATAAAACAGTTGAAGAGCTCTAGCAGAGAGGAGGACGTGGAGTGTGTCATCATGATTTCTCATGTAGGACACGCTAACAGGACACACACGTGCTTCTGCTGAGTCAGTGTTTCATTCAGGACACTGAATAACATGAAGATACATCCAAGTATGACCTTCATATTCAGCACAAGCCTATTACACACTTCAAACACCTAAATACTGATTATTAAAAATGAAAGTAGCCTTTATCTGCCGTGTACTAAAAACAGATATAAACGATATATACAACATGCTTTCCAGTTATAATAAAAATATTTGGTGCAATTTCTTTTAACTTTTGCTTGAAATTAGTCTGGTTAATTTGTCAAGCCATTTACAATTCTAATGGCAAACACTGGGATATGGTTTTACTTGCAATATGAATTGTCTAAATGTTTTTCAATTATAAATCATAATAAAAAGCCCCAAAAAACTGTAAGTTTTAAAGTTAAAAAAAATGAAAAAATCAGATTATAATTATCTTTTGGCTAGAGTGCCTGGATTAGAATGGCTATATAAACAAATCACATTGGTAGAGGCATCGGTTATGCATTTTCTTAATTGTTCAGTTGCTTCGTTTTCTAATATTTCTAATGACCACATGAATCATAAGATGCACCTGAATTCTAAGCAGCTGGTCTAGCATATGACTTCCTCCCACTCTAGAAAATCCACACTGACCTTAAGAAGCGTCTCCACACATGTGGTGTTGAGTCTGTGGTAAAAGCAGGCCCGGACTGCAGGGTCATGTTTCTGTGATCATACAGTAATGAAAAGCAAGTTGTGTGTGGTCTGTTTCTGTCTGACCTAAATTTCAGTTACCAGAATTACCTTTTGGTGTTTCCTTGATAGTCTTTTAGCCATTAATTAACTTGTCCAATGCCTTCGTAGATAAGGCTTTATGTACTCAGAAAGTATAAATGCAAAATGAGAATCACTGAGCTACAAGGAACTATTTATGAAAAGGACTTAGGTGTTTATGTTGCAACATCTTTTACATCTTCTAGATAATGAGGGGAATCAATAAAAAGGGCAAACAAACATGTTAGGATATACAGTATATTTAAAAGCAGAGATTGAAATCACATGTTGTTGCTGTACTACTCAGTTTAGAAGATTGTGCACAAGTTTGGAAATTATATCATATTATAAAAAGAGATGTTGCTTCTCTGGAATCATTCTAGGGAACTGCAGGCAGATACTGTACATTCCAGGGCTTGAGGGACGGAGCCTTTTTAGTCTGCAGGGGCAGCATGGCGGTGGTGTATGGACACAGGCAGCCCAATGGGGTGCTTCAGAATCAACAGTGACAAGCGAACTCCAGGGCACAAATGGGAACTACATGAACATGCGTTTAAAACCGAGAACAGGGGGCATGTCTGTGCACCATGGGTGATGGAACAAGCTCCCCAGCCATGTTGTTGAAGCCAATACGCTGGCTTCTTTCAGTTCATTGAGATCCTTGGATCCATTACCTATTAAACTGGATAAACGGACCAAGTGGCCCTGTCTTATTTTGTTTTTTCTTATGTTGCTCTGTTCAAGCCCTTCCATATTCTGCAACTTTTTGTGACACTTGAAGAGGGGAAAGGTATCAGTGACAAATATTGTGTCTGTGTACAGATATGTACAGTAGCTCTCGGTGAGTCCTAGATGAGAAAGCCTTTCCTTTTCCGTGCTAACTCTCATCCACTGCACTGTGAACAGTAAAACCAGCTCGGGCCAGGACATGGTGAACTGAGGTGGGATTCTTCACAGTGAACGAATAAACGCACATACAGGATAAATCTTACAAGTTCAAGTGTCCTAATTGCATAGAAAGTCTGATGTCGTTTCTCGGTGATCATTGTTGACACCGCAGTTGAGCCTCAGGGATCAGTCAACTGGAGAAGTTGTAGGAGAAGGCACCGCTGACTGACGCCGACCGTTTCCTCTTCATTCTTTGCAGAATTTAGAGAATGGGCTGTGTGCAATGCAAGGATAAGGGAGCAGCAAAACTTACGGACGAGCGGGACGCCAGTATAAGCCAGAACGCGGGTTATCGCTATGGGGCAGATCCCACACCACAGCACTATCCCAACTTCGGAGTCACTGCCATTCCCAACTTCAACAACTTCCATGCTCCGGGGGGTCAGGGGATGACCGTCTTCGGGGGAGTCAACTCTTCTTCTCAGACTGGGACCCTGCGCTCCCGGGGCGGAGCAGGTACGTGAGCACACAGCGGCCTTCCTAAAGTCGCTGGAGGTCACAGCCGGCGGCCGCCGTCTCTCCCCGCGCTCAGTTACACACTGCAAATCACTGTTGGGTGCTGCAGGAAACACTGAACTCACAGCTCACCTCCATGAAAACTGATGTAAAAGTCATTTTAGCTTCATTACAAGATTAATCCAGCACTGCTGTCTGATTCTCGGGACTACCATTAATGTCAGAATTGAAGACTTGGAGAGCATCGTGTTGCTCTCGCTGGGTGAATTTGGAGCAGGCTCCCTTTTTAGAATATAATTGCTACTCATCTTGTTATGGATTTCAATTAGTGTTTTTTTTTTCAATAGGCAGAAATTCTCCCAGCCTTCTGAGTAGACCACACTGAAATATCCTCAATAAGTCTGGGCTTTGAAAGGCAATTGTCATGTTCCGTTTTGCATACTGCCTTCACGGAAGTTTAATAGGTGAAGGCTGTGCAGCAAGAAAGCACTGTTGGGGAAATGAATCGGCCTGCCAAAGATTTACGGCACATCACTAGAAATAATCCTATCAAAATGGCAGCACAATGTATGCGACAGTCTTCCCAACAAATATTGTCTAACACTTGGGAAGCGCTAAGAGACATTCCATTTCCCAGGGACTGAGCTATAAGACACAGATCATGTGCAAACATCTATCCAGAGTCTTCGTACATAAACCACATTCCCATATTCTGCTCTGATTAAGGCCTTCCTTTTGGTCAGTGTCACCAGCCACAAAAAAACTGCAGCAGAGGGTTTTGCTCATCTGTCGACTGTGAAACATGATACCACATCATTTCACCTTGTGCGTCACCTGAAACGAAGCAGCTTCATCATTTCCATTGTGTTTTTCATTAAGAAACTTCCTCTGTCTAAAGCCTTGGACTTCTAGTATTAAATCCGGACTGGAGCTCTTCAATATATTCAGGGCAGACACTTTTTCACTGGGTGGGTAAAACATATTCGGTTTCGCATTCAGCCTTTTTTTGTCACAATCTCAGCTCAGATCTGCCATTCTGGGATCGCTCTTTAAGAGACGGCTCGGATGATAAGACAGCTCGTTTACGTGCTGAAGTGAGATCATGGCAAGAGGCACAGCCACCAGGGCAGCACAGCTTCACTGCCGCCTTGCTTGTTCTCCATTGGCTGGGTGTGACAGTGGCACAGTGGGTCTGGGGACAGTCCACCTGCAGCCCTGTGCCTGCCAGGTCACAGTCCCACTCACTATAGCCCTTCGACGGTATAGCAGCTTCTGACAATGGGTGAATACCCTAAATAACAATGCTAAAGCCAGAATTACAAATAGACATTTTTATGGAAAATGCATTATGTGGCTTTACTCAAATAGATGTCTTTGAGTTTTGTTCCTGCTGTTTCGCGGTTTGAAGTTTGAATGTTAATTTTTATAGCTTTGGTTCGAAGGAAATTCAGGGAAACTACACGCATGATCCTAATGTCGGTACAGAAGGATTGATCGTCTTCCGTAACCTGGAAAACAAGAAGGTGTGAATTGAGGGAAATGACAGGTCTGTCTTAAAGGGAGCTAGGCTCAGGGATATGGAGGTCTGAAGGAGAATCGAACCCTGTTCTCCATCTTCCAGTCAAGCAGGGTACCTCAGTCTGACGGAAAGGCAGAATATCAATCACTTAGCCCCACATCACCCTTAGGGGGGTGATTGAATTATAATAATTAATAATTGCTTACACTTGCATACCACTTTTCTGGACACTCCACTGGTACTGACCAGGACAGTGAGGTAACACCCCTACTCTTTTTGAGAAATGCCCTGGAATTTTTAATGACCACAGAGAGTTCAGTTTTATGTCTCATCTGAAGGACAGTGCCTTTTTACACCTGTAAAAATACTGGGACATTAGGACCCACATGGACTGCAGGGTGAGCACCCCCTACTGGCCCCACTAACACCTCTTCCAGCATCGACCTTAGTTTTTCCCAGGAGGTCTCTCCTCCAGGTACTAACCAGGCTCACACCTGCTGGGCTCCAGTGGGCTGCCAGCTGTGAGCTGCAGGGTGATATAGCTGCTGGTGTGTTTGTTATATTTGTTGCAGTGTTATTTGTCTGTGTTGTCTGTACTTCAGCTTCCTTGTTCAAGCTGTAGTTTGTGCTCCTACTGCCAGAAATGTTGACATTACTGACTGGTGCGCTCAGTGTATAGTATATCTGACACAACCTCTGGTCTGGTCATATAGCTTTTGTATCAGAATAAAGTAATTTAGTGACGTGAAGTGATTTAGGCAGTCTTTCCTATTTCCATGTTTTGGTTTATAGTCAGAACAGTGTACACCAGTCTGACCACGACCAAGGGACTCTGCATCGTGGCTGGAATTCGTCACGTCTTACGGTTTTCTAGCACTTGTGCCTGGAAAGCAGAAAGGCTGAGTGCAGAGCCACTGTTCAGAGCACTGAAAGGCCTTGCTTGATCCTGAGGAAAGTGTAAATCATACTGGAGATTCTTGGCTCCCTGCTGACCGCTGCTGTTTTACTCTCGTGCTCCCTTCAGGCGTTACGCTGTTCGTGGCACTTTATGACTATGAAGCCAGAACAGAAGATGACCTTAACTTCAGGAAAGGAGAGAAGTTTCAGATATTGAACAGCACGTAAGTATTTTGTTACACGGACCGCGCTTGTCTTAAAATAAGATATGTTTTGTATTATTGCAATAATCATCTTATTAAAATAGCGATACTAAAGACCACAGCATTGATGCCTATATATTCGTGTTTTACAAAACCTCTTAGAAATCTGAAATATACTGTGTTAACCTGTGCTTGCAGTGATAACTGTACTGCGAGTTAATAGTCAAATGTTCCTTATGACTTGGTGGCAGGCCCATGCGACACGAGTTTGGGGGGGAGTTGTGTCAGGGTGGGCAGCGTGTCTGAAAGAGTCATCAGCGCTCAGATGGGGTGAAATTCCACGTGAGGGAAAGGAGCTCCTGGGCTGGGCTCTGCGAGGCCCGGGCCACTCCTCTGGGGGATTTGAGAGGCTTGCAAGAGGCGCCAGGAGAAAGAGGGCCACTGTGGACTCCAGGCTGACAGGGGAGGTCTGCTGAGAGCTTTAATGTGGGAGGGGTTGTCACAGGAATGGGCTGAGGATCAGCGAGGGTGGGGTCCTGGGAACGACACAGCCGTGTCTGTGCTGGTCGGGCGGCCATGAGGCCGGTCGCTTGCGGGTCTCGGCGACAATGAAATGCACTGCGGAGGAAGAGGGGCTGCTGGGAGGCGTTGGGACCTCCAGAAGTGGGGCAGCTCTTGTCTCGTCAGTGCGGCAGCGCACTTTCCTCTTCCCAGGTGACGATAGGTGGGAGAGGCAGCGGTTGAATCCTGTCTACTCCCTGTTTCTCGCCGTCAGCCGGTCAGGAAGCGCGAGAGAAAACCGCGTGCTGGCAGCTGCCGGGTCAGGGCCACACGAGCAGCGGCGCCCCCTGCAGTGAGAGACGGGGAAGAGCACTGGTGTGAATGTAGACATGAAGCTTGGCTAGGAGTGGGAATGAAGAGTTACAGTATGCTGTAGTGTTTATAAAAGTGAAGATTGGAAATTGGGCATTGAGGGTTAAGCCAGGTTTAAGGCTTCAGTGTTCCTTTGCTTGAAAGCGATTGTCTCAGTGAGAGTCAGGATGAAGAGTACTAGGCCATGGGTGTGACGTGAGCAAATACAGAAGCGCAGGTGTTGGTTCTGATCTGAGGGAGAGATGAAGGGACCGAGCTGTCTTCCCCGAGAGAGAACCTGCGTGTTCGATCAGGGATCCCAGAGAGGACAGCCCTGTTAAAACAGTGAAAACTAAAGCGACGCGCCCTCACACAGCCCTGTAGCCCTGCAGCCCTGTAGCCTTGTAGCCCTGCAGTCCTGTAGCCCTGTAGCCGTGCTCCGCAGGAATGTGAAGTGCAGTCAGATGAGACTCGAGGTTTATTAGTGGCCCCACGCAGGACATAAATCAACACATGGAAACAAAGACGCATGATTCACTGGAGTGTCTTGGTTTCCCGGAACTGAGCAGCAGTGGGAGCTCACTTCATCATGACAGGAAGTGGCGGCGTGAGACTTCCTGTAGTTTTACCGGGTGAGCATGACAGAAGAACAGCAACTGCAGAGCCCTGCAGAAAAACTAATTTTGGAATGCGAGTTACCATAAAGGTCTGAGAATATCACACCTTGCCTGAAAAAAAAAAATCACTCTGTTAATTAAAGCTTGCTTGTTTATATTTTAGTAAGGGTAACTTTAGATGTGTGAAACATGCCTGTTTCCAGAGCCAGTTTTACCGTTTTGTGCTGAATTGTTTTCTGAGGGGGTAGGCGTTGGGTCACTCACCTCCTACACAGCTGCTACAAGAGCTGCTGTTTTGTGTCTGTTGCCTCAGGCCTTGCTCTGTCCTGCTGAGAGGAAACATGGAGCTTTGCTCTGAAGTAGAATGGTTTCTGAAGTGTCAAGTCTGAGCACTTCAAAATTTGATTTCCATAATACCTTCACAGCTGATTTGAGACTTCGTATGCCATTGGAGACTATCAGTTAATTAAAGGCTTCCACAGGAGACTAGAAACAAAGCAGTGTTTCTGCTTCAGTCCACCCAGTTAATCGGAAACGCAGCACAGTTTTAGTTATGTATGGCCACCTGCTGGTGCACAGCAGTGTTGCATGCCCTTTACCGAAGGCTCTCCATCCCTAATCCTAGAGAAAATGTCAGGTTTTGCAGGAAGCTATAAAAAACAAATGATTTGAATCAGGATCAGTGTGTTGGCGTGTGCTAATTAAGTGAATAAGTAGTCAAATCAAGTCAGAGTTGGAAGAGAACCAGAGGACCGCAGGGCTATACTTACAGTACCTGCCTCACTGGATCTGACAGGTCCTTTCACCAGTCCTAGTTTACTGGAGATCCCAGAACATCAGAGTCTATTAAATGCATTGTGAAGAAAGGAAGTCTTTAGTATATATTATTTAATTCAATTCAATGTATTTTTATATAGCGCCTTTCACAACAAGGTTGCCCCCAGCCGCTTAACAAAGCAAGTGACCATACATGTTGTACGCGGTCGTCTTTGAATTAACCCAGTGTGTTGCAGTGTCACACAATACTGTACAGTAACTAGGAAAGATGCCACAGAATATGACTGAAATAAGTCTTGAGATATTTTAACAAAGTACAAAACTAATTAAAGCATCATTCTGAAGGTACTTACTAGAGACATAACCAATTCCATATCATAATTCCCACAAGGACACAGCTAGTTGTGCTGTTAGACACCGGCCTTCATATTGTATAACTGGAACAAGGACACACATCACTTACATTAGCCAGCTGTCTCATTAATGTTATATATGTAGTACTGAGAACCAGTATTGAGAACCAAATTGTTAATAATTATCAATCATTTGTGTTATGAGAGGGGAAATCTTGAAACCCATGGAAATCTCTGGGAGATATTTTTTTCACAAGTCTTTTACCAAACTATAAGTAAAGATTTTTAAACTTGCAGTAGAAGAAACTTAATGAAGAACATGTCTTTTTGTCCCTAAAGCTTCATTATGCTTAAGTACATATGGCCTGTTTTCCCATTAAAAAAAAAAGTTTTACTGTTCATGTAAAGTATGTTATGTCTTTGAATATGAGATTTCTTTTATTGCTACTTTTAATGGAAAGTGCATTGTTAAATAGATATAGTTCTTTAACATGAATATCACCTATAATACTTTCCTACACTTAATAAAAGTGTTTCTGCAGAGAGAATCTCTGCATTGTAAATGGCTGAGCAGAGCCTGCGACTACATCATTTTGCTGTAGAGTCTGCATTATTTCTCAAGCCTGTGGCTTGTTTCCAAAAGAATTACACATTTTCTGTACAACAATGGAATTGCAATATGTTCTGAAATGTAGTCCCTTGCCAGCTTGTTTCCTTGTCAATTAGAGCCTGACTGCTGGCTTTTCTTCTTAGTCCATCAGTAAGACTCTGTTTTCATTTAACTTTCTCAGTCTGTTTGAAGCTCAGATGACACAAACTCAGAAATACTGCCGTCTGCCTGGGAGGGTTTTATCAACGTTGTCTGATGGATTTTGCAAATACTGTCATATGGCTGTTGGAACTGTGATGTACACAGTAGGACACTACAGGCCAATCTGATTTGGCTACACTCATAGCCGGAAGTGCTCTGTATGTACAGAACGACATAAACAGGTGATACAGGGAACAGTGTAACTCAAATAGTCTGACAGGACATGCTACTGTATGTGCTTCTCTGCTATGCTATCTTTTATCATAGGGCACAATATGATATTGATTTGTGGAAAATCATGAGACCTTTGACCTGCAACTAGTATCTGTCAATTAAAAATTCCATAGGTTTCTTCATGAGAATATTGCCTTCCATATAAAGTACCTAACGGTTTAGTCAGAATCATCATCTGCGTGAAGAAGGTTCTTTAAACCATTTCTTAATCAGTTGCATTTATTTTAGAATATTATCCAGCTGTTCAGCTTCAGTATGATCATCAGTGTGTTTTACTGTGTGAATTGTGGTCAGCTTTGTAAGCGATATGTCTGGCTGAGGCACAAAGGCAGCAAAGGGTTCTGGCTGCGGTACTGGCTTTATAGACTGCGGGAGGCTACTTTCTTGAAAACCTAAGCGTGTGGCCAGTGTACGAGAGGAGTTTCAGCAGTAGAACTGCAGTAAGCCCTTCCTGCTGTAGATGTGAATGAAGTGGTGGAAGTAGGGGGGGTGTTTTTGTTGCTTTGTCACCAGATCAGATTCTGCACAGAAAGAGTATTTGTGTTCTATTTTACACTGTTTTATAAAAGTATATGGGACTCCTGATGTTGAGGGGTTTCAAAGGTAGGCACCAAAAGGACTTTAAACTTTATGAAGGATTTTTTCATATCTCATAGATACGCCTTGTTATAGACATAAACCTGCAAACCTGAAAGGTGTAGGTGTCTGTTACATTGGTAGAACATTCCATCAGTTTTATCTCGTGGGTATTAAAGCTGTCACATGCTGCTCTTCGGAACAGAAAAATGAAAGGACTATGTACTGTACCGTGAAGTTCTGAAGACGCAGCGGGCCCTGTTTTCCACTGTGGGCAGACATATAAATGAATTAAGAGGGCACACTGCCCGCTGCTAACCCACAGTGGAAAACCAGAGCCATTGTTTTGTGACTGTTGTGATTTAAGGAAAGGAGGCAACATATGGAAAAAGACTGCTTTTATTTGCTGATGTAGCACTTACTGCCTATGTATGTATGGCATATATTAATGTCACTCTTTCCCCCTTTTCTCTCCCCTCTCTCCCCTCTCCCTCTCCCCCCTCTCTCCCCTCTCTCCCCCTCTGCTCCTCTCTCAGCGAAGGGGACTGGTGGGAGGCCCGCTCACTGTCCACGGGCCTGACCGGCTACATTCCCAGTAATTATGTGGCTCCTGTGGACTCCATCCAGGCGGAGGAGTAAGTGGTGCTGGCAGAGGGTTACCACCCTCAGTGAAAGCAGGGGGCATATCTCACACGTCTCACACCAGAGGCTTTTTTTGATGTTCGTTGAGCTCTAATAACAAATGGAACGCCTGGTTAGAAAATAATGAAAGCCAGTTGATTCCATGGACCCTCTTGACATAACATAGAGGGACATTCTGTTTGACGTTCTTTGTTTTATTCCCCCCCGTGAAATTTCTTGGCGATCGTTGGGCTCTCTCTCTAATTGGGAACAGTACTGTACGTTTTTTTCTCTTTTAGTAAATGTCATATAGTGTAGAGATTAGTACTATCCCCAATACATTCTTGGCATAATCTAACTGTTATGAATTCTGCAATGCAGCACAAGGTGGGTTGTTGTTTTTTATATTTATATGCTCCTTTTCAGTCTGAAGGACCCCTGAGTGAGTGCTTTACATATAGGAAGGGGCCCCTTTCATCCACGGCCCCCACCTGGTGACGCACAACAGGCATTGTGAACCAGCAGACCTATTACACAGCAGAACACAAATGCCGAAGGGTGAATTGCTTCACCATTTGAATTCAAGAGGAATTTTAGGTCAGCCTGACTGTGCTGACCTAGAGCAGGATTTAGCCCTGCAATTGTGGTTAACACCCAAACTCTTCCAGACAGTCCCATGGGTCTGTCATCACTCTGCTCTCCTCCCCACTGAGAGCTGATGTGTGGGGTGAGTTTACTAGCGCACTATGGCTGCCGTCACATCCTTCAGATGTTTCTGCACGCCGGTGGTGGTGGAGGGGATCCCCATTACCTGTAAAGTGCTTTGAGTTGACTGTCCAGAAAAGTGCTATATAGGTAAAAGGAATTATTGTTCCTTACATTCCAGTACTGTGGAAACAGTGCCACCTACTGGTCCAGCAACACCACTACAGTATGAACTTGGCTTTCCTTAAATTTACCCTTCCCAGTACTGACCCGGTCCTGCCTAGGTTTCATTCTGAGATCTGACGCCATCCGGCCTCAAGGCGGTAATGTTGCTGTTGACACAGGGTGGCTACACTGCTGCTTTTAAAAGAGCGTGATGGTGAAATATTGGATGAATTCGCCATTAGTTGATTTATTTCTGAAAGTGTAATGAGAATATTTCCCAGGCTATATTTTATGTGAGGTCTTAGTCACATGTTACACACAGAGGAGTTACCTTTTTTCTCATTTGGTTCATGTTGTGCTGTTGAAATGCCATAGTCAAAGGCTGTGATAAATAAGACTATTATTCTCCTGGTGCACAGCACATCAGTATGTCATGTGAGTAACGGAGAAAGATTGAACAAAGAGGAAATTCAGTACGCAGAGAGAGTTTACACTGCAGGAAGTTTTGTTCATTTGCATAGAAATTAGACCGTTGCCTCAGTTATTTAGCTGGATTTACCTTATGTAAAAAATAGAAGGTAATTTACTTCCTCAGATCTTCTTTAATTCTGACCGTTGTAATGAAAGTCATCTTAACCTTCTGTCTTTTAATCATTTTTTCTGAAAAAAGGGTTTTATTTTCAGAAATGTGTTCACTTTTGGTTAAAAAATGTAAAAAGTTAAATCAAAATTAACCCACATTGATTTCGCCACTTCATTGGAAAACCAATTGTTGTAAATATGAGGCACGAAGCAGGCAGTCTTTACTCACAAGCATTGTATCTGTCTCCAGTAATTCCTCCATAATGCGGAGTAGTTACAGGGCTGCACACCCTTATCTGTGACAGAAGAACACAGCATGAAGGAGATACTCGGTCTGCCTCACGCAGTCGCCTTCCCAGCGTCTCTGCTGGCTGGCAGCCATTTTCCCCTAGTCTGGTACTGTATCTCCCAGCCACTCTGGCACCTCTGGCCCTGCGAGACGAAAGGTCAGCCCTTCTCTGGGACTCTGAGGTCTCAGGCACGTCTTCTGCTGCGCGGAGGTCTCTGTGACGGCTCTGTGTCCTGTATCAGCCCTCACGGGAAACAGGAAACGTAGGTGTGAGTGAAAAAATGATGGAAAACATTCATCCAGGCACTCGGGGGAAACGTGTGAGCAGACGTCTGCCATATTTGGATTACAAGCTGCACTGTTTTGTGACGTAAGAAGATAAAAGCAAAGGATTTTCTAAATGCAGGCAGCAGTAAAGGGGACCTCCTTAGAAATCGAACACCATTCGCGTGTTTTAGATTTCAGGTGTATAGCGCTTGAATAACAAGGCTAATGCTTTATTATTTGCAGTTGGTACTTTGGTAAACTTGGCCGGAAAGATGCCGAGAGACAGCTTCTGTCCAACGGTAACTCCAGAGGTACCTTCCTGATCCGAGAGAGTGAAACCACCAAAGGTAATATCCTTTCATAAGGTGTAAATTAAATAAAACTACAAGGTTCTATAATGTACCCCAACACATATATTAGGATATTAGGAAGAATCTGTCCAGATTATGGAGAAAGGTGCCCCTCTGACCAGTTGCAGAACAAAGAATTCTGCACGTCACAGTATGTCCAAACATTGCAAAAACAACACGTTTACAAAGCTGCACATTTTTGGCTTTTCCAAAGAACGTCATTCTCTAAAACCCCAAAGTAAAGAGCTGGTCCTGTACTAATAGAAATTGTGTGGACTTCTGAATTACTTGCATTAGATTTTTTTTACCATTCCCATTTTCTTCTCCAAATTATATGCCAGGATTTTTCCACAGCCAGGTTTTTTTTTCCTTCAGATAAAAGTGCTTTATCTACACATTACAGCATGCAGACTGTTTAAAGGTCTGTTTTCCTTTACAACGGGACTCTGTAAAAAAATGGCACTCGGACAGTTGTAGTATCGAGTCAAGGTGATGTTAGTTTCAGTATTGAAAATTAACAAATGCAGGTCTGTACTTTTTTATGCCTCTCATGTTCTCTGTGCAGACTGCCCTGCAGCACGGTCTTCTCAGATGTGTGACATGAGAGGCTGAGGGGAATCTCTCCTATCAGCATACGATAAACAGTGCCAGCTTAGGATGATAAAGTAGCAGCAATGCAGACAACCCAGGATTTTTTAAAAAAACGTGAAAGACGCCAACTTTGCGTTTTGTGATTATGAGCGTATAATCTCTGAGCACGATTCTCTCTTCGGTTGATTTGTCTTTCAGGTGCCTTTTCCCTGTCTATACGGGACTGGGATGATATTAAAGGAGACCATGTGAAACACTATAAAATTAGAAAGTTAGACAGTGGAGGGTATTATATAACAACCCGAGCCCAGTTTGAAACTCTGCAGCAGCTGGTGCATCATTATTCAGGTAGGTTCACACAGTTTACTCGGTTTTTCAGTTTGTATTTTTTGTGACCGTCCAGTTTATGATTTCTTGTTCTTAAAATGATATCAATTGTACTGGAGCTCAAAGGAA